CCCCCCCAATCGTGCTCCCTCCCCAACTTGCCCGTCGGACACCACGCCCCGCCCCGGTCTACCTCAACCCCTCTCCCTGCCACTCACTCCCAAACAAACTAACTACCCGCCGCCGTCTGCGTCCCCCCTTTTGTCCAAGACGTTCGGACGACGGACGCTGACGCTGTGGCGCACCGAGAGAGGAGGAGTGAGGGATGAGGGCGACTCTCCCTGTCTTCTTCACACCGCGGTGGTTCTCCCCATTCTTCATCTATCGCTCCTCTTTTCTTCCTTATCTCTCTTCGAGGCTGACAGTGGCCCTCTGCATTTCTTCGCACCCCTCCTCCCCCTCCGCTGCATTCTCGCCCCGGCGCCGCAGCGCAACTTGGCGAGGAAAGTCGCGCCATCCAAAGAAAGTCGGCTGCCTTTCAGCGCAGGCGGCAGACACCGACCGAGTGCGACAGCGCACCACTTTATTTCACTGTCTTATTGCGCGTTTTCCCAATTTTTAGACAGCCCCCAAGACTGGCACCAAACTCTATGTAAAAGCGTATAGTCGGCCCGGTGCTGTGTAACACTTACTCATCCACTCATGTTCGTTGGTTTGCTCAGTTGAAAGGGGAGAACTTGTCGCCGGCCCGAACGCCACCCGCTCCCTTCCCCCTCCCACCACCTCGCAGCGTTCCGATCTCGCCCGCGCTGCTCGTATGTCGCAAGCGCTCTCGCTCTCCTCGCTGCTGGACAAATTCTCCAGATTGAATCCGCTTGGGCATGGCTGGCTGGAGCCCGGAGCCGCTGAAGCGTCCGAACGGCTTCAGCGCGCCGACAGCAAACAGCGCCCCGGACAAATTTCCGGAGAAGCGATCGGGGTGGATCGCGTTCTCTCGCTCGCGGGCGTGGCGGCGCGGGGTGGTGGTGCCTGGTGCTGGAACGTTGGGCTGCTGCGAGGTGGCCAAGCCTTTGACGGCATGGCATACCCGCGGTGGAAGTGGAGCGAGAGATGGATAGAGGGATTCCGACGGTGGTACCTGCGGAAACCTTGCAGTCCCGTGGTTCGGCTTAGTTGTAGTTGTGCGCTGGCCGGGCGCGCTCGGCAGCGCACCGCCAGCCCCAGCCACCCAGTCATATATATTAAGGCTATCACATTTTCCGCGCCATTTCCGATGGCGGTCGCTCGGTCGCGCGCGAGGGTGAGGATGCGTGGTGTGTGTGCCGGGCGTGAGGCTGGCACATCTTGCTTCGGCCCTGTTCGGATGTGCGAGCGCGCGAAGCCGCCGCCCGCAGCGGTAATACATCGCTGGTTTTATCATTGCCCTCCACCACCAAACAAACAAACTTTTCTCTCATCCTCTATCACGCATCGCTGCCGCTCCTCCTTGCTGGCTACGTTTTGTATTCATTTAAAATTGCGTGCACGGAAAAAATGTATTAGCTAGTTTGGCCTTTTAGTAGAAAACGTCAGCCACCTCCTCAACCGTTTCCCTGAATTTGAAACTACACGACGAGCTACTTCAGCAAAACAAATAACGTATCTGAATTAGTTAAAAGTCATCCGGGAGACCTGATCGGTGCTCATACTTTAAACTATGAGCTAATTTTTAGCTAAGCTTATTCTTTCATGTGTGAAATATATAAACATTTGAAAAGGATGAAAAGGCATAGTTCTGCTAGTATGGATTTTCATTGTGTTTGCTCTTTTATTTGATTGCAGATGTCTGTCGGTCGCACGCTGCACTCCAGACGTTCGAGCAGCCGCCCAGCTATACGGAGGTCAACCCTGACTCGGACGTGAAGCTCGTCTGCAAGATCTACAACAAGCGGGGACACTGCTCGTGGCAGAAGGACAACAAGGTGCGTGCAGCGACTGGTTGATACGAACGAGCGCAGTGTCTCTGACGGGCCGAGTCTGGCGTACTCTGCTGTAAAGCTCCCCCTCCAAAATCAGGCCCCAATTCAGCAGACTAAATCTCTACGTATTGCGTTTTTTGCATTTTCAGTTGAATAATAATCTTGAAATCTGCTTGTCAACAAACATATCTCGGATAAGTCCTGAAATCTGCTTGACTTTGAGCTTCGCTAAACGCTCTCCTTCCTCACGGTACCTGACGGCCTACGCTGATTTCCATTCAAAAATAAGCAGCTTGCAAACAAACAAACAAACCAACCACCGTTAACGACAGTGCCAAAGTATTATTGCCTCGCGTTGTGATTTATGTGGCGGGCGGCTCTAATGGTTTACTGTCTGCCAGAAAACGCGGCAGCAACGGGGCCTCTTTCGAAGTCGGTGGCTCGGCTCGCAGTGGCGACGAGGTGCCCCGCCACGCCCCGCCCCACCGCCACGTTTGCATGTCTTGCTTATTTGCAGGCTCGAGCCACTTCTGTCTGATTAGGTTTCGCCCTGGCCGTGCCGCCCGCCCGCCCGTGCCCGCCTTGTTGTTGGACTGCGCTATTTCAAGTCTACCGCAGCCCGGAGTGGCCCGGGGCATGCTGTGTTGCTTTTTGATGAGCCTCCCCCCCCCCTTCCCCCAACATCCACCGCCGCCGCTCCCGGCTGACAGAGAGAGAAAGACAAAGAGCTCTGTGGAGGAGGAATACGCATAAAATGCACGAGGGCGCCAGCCCCACGAGGGGATGACATGAACAAGCAGCCTGCCCGAAAATTGAACGCGCACATGGTTTTTGTATCAACTCAATGAAAATAAGAACACGCATGACACAGGTCGTGTAAGCTCCATAGGTCAACAGTGCGATACAACCAGGTCAGGTCCGGCGTCCGGCTACTAGTTGTGCTATTTACGATTACAATCGAGTGAAGTTTCCCACTAAACGTCTGACGTAGATCACATCGTTACATCTCGATGTTGAAAAATGCGTTTGGCATGGGGTTTTAAACTGCCCTTGAGGAGGGGTGCGGTGGTGCGGTATGGGTCGCGCTCGTTGTGTTTGGCAAAGAGTGTTTCGACGTTCCCTAATTTGTGAGTCTCGGAGGGAGGGGGAGGGGGGCTCTCCCACCCGCCACACCTGGAGGGGGAGAAGGAGTGGGAGAGGGGGCACCTACCCCAGGGGAGACAGTGTGCCAATAGTAAATCATGCACACCGCCACTCCGCCTGGCTCGTAAAACGGGAGTATTTTGCCGCCAGCGACGCCCGGCAGCACTGACTTTGCACTAACTTGGCTCTGGAAATAACGCGATTTTTGCTGAACTTTTTTGTCTCGCACTCCGCCGCCGCGACCAACCCGTGTCTCTGCGACTGCCTCCACCATCGGCATCATCGATGACGGAGAGGTGTCGCGACGTTTTTGGTCCAGCCAGCCTGAGCATCACTGTCGTACACCAACGCCGTGGCATCGCTCATGTCAGCCCTTTCTCTCTCTCTCTCTCTCTCTCTCTCTCTCTCTCTCTCTCTCTCAGGGGCGTCGACAGGACGACTTTTCAGGGGGGGCACAGAGCACAGAGCTGAAGCCGAACAGCGTCGCGCGATATGTAAGCGTAACAACTGTTTCTGAACTCGGATTCGAGTTATCGATTCCTCGGACGTAATCCCATCCTCTGTTTCTCTCTGCCCGACGAAAAGTTTTGAAGGAGGCAGGGAAGGGGAGGTAAGGGTTGGAAGGGTACATGGGAGACGATTTTCTTCTCTACAGAGCATGAGCAGAAGTTCTGATCCGTAGATGGGGTTGATCACCTTGGTAGGCCGTGGCCAGGCCTTGCGTCCTCTTCACCTCTACCTCACCCCTGTGCTCCAAATCCTTCAGAAACAAACAGTGTGACACCCCACCCACCTAAAAATAATGAGTTCTTGGACCAGGTACAATGTACTTCGAAGAAGAGCTAACTCTTTTAGTTGTTATAAAATAGTGACTAAATAACAATTAATATTTGTCTAACAAGAGATGCAAATTTATCACCGCTCAGGCCCAGTGCAAGATGAGCGCACAGACGATCGTGCAATGGACACATAGAAAACCATCCATCAGCCAGCAATATTAAAACGAGGCATTGAATTAAACTAGATTTGGTAGAAAATAAGGGTGGAAGGGGTGAGGGACTAAAAGTGGAAAGTGATAGGGGATGCAGAGAGGGAAAGGAGTGGGTAAAGGGTGGAGAGGGATGGAGGTGCAGATCGGAATGGTCTGCAACCCTTCTCTCAATGTTTACTTGCCTTCTTCATAAAGATCGTGGTGTGTCCCGCCGTGGTGGGGTGTCTGCCCTCATATCCCCCATCGCCCGGGCAGGGGAAGAGGGGGAGGAAAGGTTCCGTTCCTATCGGCAATATGGCCATGCGGGGATTTTTGTTTCTCTTCTTCGTCGCCCCTATATACGAACTACGGTACGGTGGTGGTGCGGGTGGGTTTTGTAGGTTGTGACGAATATACCTTTTTTCAGAGCTAGAACGAGGGGTAAGGGGGGGG